ATTAAAAGAATATTTCTAAGTATTTATAAGGGGTTATATGAAAGTTTTGTATTACGAAGGGCAAATACGACAATTCCACACTTTTGGGCGTATTAATGCATTTTATTCGCACTTACTCTCGCTATAAGCGCTTCTTTCCATTCATCTCCCCCCATCGATCTCTCCTCTCTCTCTCTCTCTCTCTCTCTCTCTCTCTATTAAGGAATAAGGTTTGTATTTTTGATCCATTTCTCCGCCAATTGGTGCTGTTGGAGTAGTCTTGAGAGAATCAGGAAGAGTTCGAGGAGGGATTTGAGGGTCGAGGATGTGTGGAGGGGCGATCATCTCCGACTACATTCCGGCCGGGGCGGGGCCGCTGCGCGTGACCACGGATTGCCTGTGGCCAGATCCGAACAATGGCTGCGGAATGAAGGCGGGGGAGAAGAAGAAGAAGAGGAGGAGGAGCGGTCGTGGCCGTCGCCTCCCGGCGGAGGAGACGGACGATGACTTCGAGGCAGATTTCCAGGAGTTCGAGGAGGACGGCGAGGTTGATCTCTTCCATATCGAGTCCTTCGCTTTAACTTCGGAAGGTACCATTACTCGAGAGAAAAAAAAAATCGTCTTTTTAGGTCACTTCTTTGTGAAAGCACGGATTAAAATTCAATGTGCAGAAAATCTAATGAAAATTTTGGATGCGTTTACTTTATCTTTTTTAGGGTAATTATCTGTATATCATTTCGTGAATTTTGGGAACTGAGCTGATTGTCTGTTTTTCTTTTATTGTCAGAAATTTTGCAAAAAGGTACCATTGTTATTCTATTTCCTTTTCTTCCTGTCTTGTTTATGGAATGCAGATACTTTGATGAAGTGTTGATGGAAGTGTAGAATTAAAAGTTCTTTCTTTCTCACTTCCCATTAATTGACAAATCCGAATTGAAATAATTTTTGGCAAATTAACATTTTTATTGGACAGATTGAGCAGGCCGCATTTTTATTTATATTAAGATATTATGTTGTTGATGGGATTAAACAATATTTTGAATTTGATTTAGTGTTTGTTTTCCTCGTCCTATCTCAACTCATATCGCAGTTCTGGGGGTTCCTCTTTTATGTGATAACCACTCCTTTTAAGCTTAATTACCATCACCTATCTCGATTTGATTTGTGTCCTCGTCCTTGCAAAACATTTCTTGAATTCCTCCCAAAGAATTCTGTTACACTCTTGCTTGTCTGCTTTACACTGATGCCCACATCACCTAAAAGTCTGGTTTACACTGCTGAAGTCCCTATTGATACCTATTACCATGCGCTTATGGTTCACAATAAAGTTGCAAGTATATCCAAGTTTTGCAGATCAGGTCCATAGTTGGACTTGAATCAGTGGAATCAGAGTGGGGCTTTTTTTTTGTTTAGAACAATTATTAATTGAGTGGGAGTTTTTTGAAAAACCAACAGAAATTGATTGATCCTGTGGATTCGAGTTGTTTCTACTTGAATTTGTCATTGCTAGATCCTCATGATATTGCCTTTGGCTGCAGATAAACCAGTCCCCACGAGACCTTCAGAGGTTGATGTACCTGCATCCAGGTCTGCTAAAAGGTACAGAAAGAATCAATATAGGGGTATCCGTTGGCGTCCTTGGGGGAAGTGGGCAGCTGAAATTAGAGATCCTCGTAAGGGAGTTCGTGTCTGGCTTGGAACCTTCAACACTGCTGAAGAAGCTGCAAGAGCATATGATGCAGAAGCTCGTAAGATTCGTGGCAAAAAAGCCAAGCTCAACTTCCCTGATGGGTCACTTCCTTGTGTCCAGAAGTCCCTTCCGAAACTAGCTGCATCAAGAACATCAAAAACAGAGATGCCCAACTATAATAAGTGCTTCAATCACCTCTATGACCCATTTCAAGATTTCTGCTCATCTTTTGACTTCATCGAAGTGGATCCCATCATACAATCGGAGAAACTGAGTTCGTTCCCAGAGATAAAACCAGCTCCACCCACTGTGGTGGCTGGGATGAATTTGCAATCTGACCTACATGAGATTAAGACTCCAGAAATCACATCAGTTATTTCTCCAACAATTTCTGAAGTTGAAGAGACAGCCTGCCTAGAAAAAGGTGTTGCTCCAAAGAAACTGAAGAACAATGTAGGACGAGCTGTGCCTACTAAGGAAAGTGCTGCTGGGAAACCCTCCAAAGAGTTGTCTGCTTATGAACCATACATGAAATTTCTGCAGATAACTTATTTGCAGCCGAGCACAGATGACTCAATCGACAACCTTCTCGGTGGTGATTTGACTCAAGACTTTAGCAGTGTGGACCTCTGGAGCTTCGACAACCTGCCACAGTTGGGGAGCAGCATCTTCTGAGGATCCTCGAGTTATGGCATCCATTATCATGTAGATAACATATAAGTGTAAGCATCACTGCTTTCATTTTGTAACTACTATGCTGTTTATGGCTTGTGTTTGTCATTTGGTTTGAGCTGTCTTTTCTTTTCCGGTTGTAGGGAATGAAAGTGTTGGAGGATATAAAATTGTTGCATGGACTATGATCTATGTCACTGTACTATATCTCTGTTTGAGAGTGTTCAAGTGTTTTGGTCCTTTTGGATTCCTCTAATGTTAGTCAAATTATCAGTATAGTAGGAAATGCTGAATATGGATTTGGCTGTATGTCTGATACTGCTAATGGAGATGCTTGTAGACATCATGGCATGCTTATTTTATGGTTCAATGGCTACCTTCCATATTTATGTTATGCTTTGATATTGCTAATTGCTGGTATGTGATGCATCTTGAGCCTTCCTTTCATCTTATAACTGGAACATAATATGTTATATTAGAATGTAATTGTAGGCCACACAGGACATTAGGGTAACTAGATTGAATTATCAGTCTATATTAAGCTAATATCCACCCTACTGATTGATCATCATATTGTCCAACTCATTACAGAGGATTGTTTAGCTATTGTGTCTGAAGCAACACAAACAAAGCACAAATTTTATTGCAGGAACTTTGTCCTTGAACCTTACAAGGTAGAATTACATCTGAAAATGGAAGAAAATGCCCCACAATTGGAATGACATGAACTCTTGTCTTGATGACATGAAAGAGAATGGCCTCACATCTTATTAATGCATCTCTAAACAAACACAGCAAATCACTCTGTCCGACATCAGTTGGGTCCATCTACGAAGCTCTCTTCAGCAGCAGCAGCTTCAAACATTCTGTCCATCGACAGTGCTCTCCGCATCGACAGCCAGAGGAACAGAAGCAGCCTGAATCAGAGATCGCAGTGGAGAAGAAACATTTAGCATTAGCTGAGGAGGATCGACATCGAAGCACAAACCGGTTGAGATGAACTCACCAATTTACGATATTTGAGAGCATAAAACATCTCGAGGTAACGACGAGTCTCGCGTCTCTCGAGGTTGGAGACATGCTTCCAGAATCCATACACACCAGCCAATGTCATCAGCCTCTCAGAGTACAGCTTCCAAGTGTACCTACGAAATGTCCATGCAGACATGAGGGTTACAAGAACAAGAAGTCGATCCAGTCATGTTCTGGATGGAAGAAGAAACAAGCCATACTTTTCGTAGATTCTCTGCAGTCCTCCCTGCGAGATCTTATCCCAGTGTGTGGGATCCTCTTTGCACTTCTCGAAGAAGCCAACCAGGATTTCGGCGGCTTTGTCCTTCTGATAAGGATCGATGTGGAAGCCAGAAACCCCGTGAACAATGATCTCTGCGGGACCTCCATAAGCAGTCGCAAATGTGGGCAAGCCACAGGTCATGGCTTCCACCACCGTGAGCCCGAAAGCTTCGTACAAAGCAGGCTTAGAAGACAGAACACAGATCATCAGTCGAGAATTCTCAGGTCGAGGGGTAGTAGAGTACAATGATCCATTACCTGCACAAAAGCTCCTTTAGTGTCAGCAATGTATCGGTAGAGCTCCCCGTTGCGGACTCTGTCCATCTGCGCAGAGATCCACCTGATCTGGCCATTCAAGTTGTACTCCTCGATGAGACCGAACATCTTCTTCCTCTCTGCTAGTTCCTCGATATCCTTCGATTCTTTGCCATGGTCGCCTGCCACCACAACAAGGTTTGCTAGTTCCCTCAACCTCGCATTCCTGCCATATAGCTCTACGAGACCCGTCAGGTTCTTAACACGGTCCAGCCTTGCCATCGAGAAAATGATGGGTTTGTTTCGGTCATTCAGCACAAACCTGCATGAATTCCGAGTTCTTTCGTTAGCTGAGAAAGATTAGAGAGCATGACAGAAAGAAGGAACAGAAGAAGTTGCTCGTCTTTCTCACTTGTGCTCATCATTCTCAACAGAGCTGAAAAGTAGCTCCTCGATTTCAGGATGGAAGTGGGTGAGTCTTTTGTCCACCTCGACGTGAGGGAAGTAGACTGACATATCGGCTCCAGGTGAAACAATGTTGAACTTGGGATCAAATACATTGATTCCATGTACCACGCGGTAGAGTCCAGGAAGTGTGAATGCAGTGTGAGACTCGTACTGTCCCACCGTGTCCTTGCTGCAACATCAGAGATGTGCAGAAGATTAGATTCATTGCATTTTAGTTGAAGTGATTGGAGACTTGTTGATTTCCAGGCAAACATACCTTCCAGCAATCTCTTGGAAGGTACTAGTGATGATGAAATCAGTATGATTCATGGCGAACAAATCAGCTGTGAATTGGCAAGAGAAGTGGTATTGATCATCGAACTTTTTCCAGTAGATATCGGAGTTTGGATACTTCGTCTTCTCCAAGGCATGGGCGATGGTGCACTTCAAAGAGACATTATGAGAAAACAATTAGTGATAATGCACTGCTTGGTAGAGAATGATAATAAAGCATCGTGTTTCGAGATGCAAACCTGAGTGACACCCAGTTTATGTGCAAGCAAAGATGCTACTAGATTTCCATCACTATAGTTTCCAATGATCAAATCCGGAGTTGCCTGCAGCTCCTCAGCAAGTTCTTTTGCGACATCCTGTCATGCACAAGCAAGATGACATTGAATGAGGTGAAAGCTTCAACAGGCCATTAGTTTCAGATCTGCTCTGCTAGCGAGGGATATTTACCTCAGTGTAAGTCTCTAGATAAGGCCATACATCAAAACGCGAGATCCATTTCCGAAGGATCCCCTTTTCGTTTCGAAAAGGAACCCGAAGAATGCTCGTGTGCTGTGTCTCATCGACCTGTTCGAGGCGCTCGCCGCAGGTAGTCCCTACTGCATCAGGAAGCAATCTAGTAACCTGGAACAGGGAGAAAGATGGATTCATGAGAAGGGCCTTTTGATTAGCATAACTAACATCCAAGTTTGTCACAGGGATGATAGATAGAAGCAGTTGAAGTTTCGTGATTACAATGAGAATGCGAGGAGTGATATCAAGGCCTTGCTGCTTTATCCTAAGAAGCATCTCATTCTCCAATGCGCGAACTTGATCAAGAATATAGACAACCTGCAGAAGAATTGGCAGAAAGATCAGGTCACACACTAAGAGAAGTGCAACTTAAAGTTGAATCTCCTTGTTGTTTGAGCATCGCACCTGGCCGCCAGTATCAGGGTACCCCAAAACATTAGCTTGGGCAAAGTATCCATGTGGGGAGAGGATGACAACATTGAAGACCATTGGAATTGTTCCGAGGAACTTCTCCAGGGTGCAGGGATCAGGCGCCTCAAGAAGATCAAGGAGGAGATGCATTGTTTCGAGTACACGCTGAACTGTGTCACCCCAGCCCTTCTCAAATCCAAGCTCTTGAAACCTAAAAGAAAAGATAAAATGGTGCATATTATTCTCTCATAGAGACAAATTCATCTCAATCCTGCTATTGAATTTAATGATCACACAATAAGTGAACATTAACATACCTATTGTTGAACTCTGAGTATGGAGTATCAGCAGGAATGCTCAGTAGATATTGCTCTGCCTTCCTCAGTGCAGATTGGAGGGCACGAGGACTTTGTAGTTTGTCATTGAGCATCATCACCTGCATTCCAAGCATGATACCATCATATAGAACCATCAATAGATTACAAATTATACTGGCAAACAGATTTTTGACTATTGTACTGTTGTATTGCAGATTACAAATGTATGCAAGTTCATAATGTTAGTTTCTAGTAATGTGAGAACGAAAAGGATATGAGATTTACCGTTCCCTTATAACTGTGTGTCCGTAGAAATTCAAGCAATGGATACATGCTTTCTTTGTCAACAAACAACTTCGAAGAGAGGTGACGGTTCAGAAACTGCACTCCGTTGCCAATGGATTTTGACAGTGAAGGACGCGGAAAAGAGGCATTGAAGGGCTCAAAATCCAATTCCAGCACAAAGTTACTTTCGGATCTGGAGAAGAAGAAGAAGAAGAAGCATAGCAACAGATTCAATTGCTGAAGGTGAATTACAATGAAAACTACAGTGCAAGCAATTGTGTAAGTTACACAAAATATGACAGATGAACATACTCTCCATTCACTAGTTTTTCCTTGAATTGCAGGTACTCAGATGCACTTAACTCCCCCACAACGAGCTCGTTCACATTCACTTGGACATATTCCCAGACACCAGGCCTTGGTCGAATCGCAAGAGCGACGAGTGGAGGTACAACTATAGCTTCCTGCATAATTCAGAATCGTCGATTGTAGAAATGCAAACAGTATGATCGACAAAGTGTAAATCTGTCTGTTTGTTGTTATCGGTGTGTCACCTGTGCAGCTCTCAGAACATCTTCAAAGACTCCACCTTTCAGCTTTTCCTTCTCATCTTCAGAGAATGCTGCTTCAAACTCGGCAAGCAACTGATGCCGTTGCAGCATCCCCTTTCCCTGGTTAACATACCTGAAAATTCAACAGGTAACAGTCATATTCAGATACACTATCTAGTAGAATCATGAATTTTATCAGCTTTTAATTGTTGCATCCATGTCTAACTCTGATAAAATGCTAATGAGATATAAAATGCTATCTATGGTCCTGCTACATCATTATCTTAAGGTTATGCGCAAATTTTTGGAGAAAATTTAGAGGCTTATATGCCGCGAAGCAATAGGAAGAAAATGAATGGTTACAAGTTGGATTTCAAGAGAAAAGTAAACCAGCATCCTTGCACTATACTATCGATGCTTGTGTAGAAGAGAAAGAGGCTAGATTGTAATCATACCTTGAGAAAACAGCAAGCAATTCATTAGGACTGGCGGAGAGGGTACCACTGAGACGCTCCTTAACACTAAGAACACGAGTCAAAGTGCGCCCAGCCATGGCTTATCTCTGCACCTTATCTAAGCCTTTAGAACTCACCAAGCTGCAAGAACCTAAAAGAGATAACCACTGGTATAAGAAGCCACCAATGCAAGACTCCTCACAAATAGGAGTTGGAAGAATTGACTGGATAGCTGGACCAGACCATAAAGTTGAAAATCTAGAAGGGTTGCAAGCATGAACTTTTGACTTGTAACATTAATCAAACAGCTATAAATCTATCAATAACACTTGAGAAGAAACCAAAAAACATCTCCTGTTCAATCCATTTACCAAAGGCATAAATTCCACATACAAATTAATGAACAAAAAGGAAAGCAGGGAAAAGGAAAGGGATAAACCAGGAAATAAGAAAACAAGGATAGATTAATGGCAAGGACAGGAGAAAACCAAGAAACAAGACAGTTCTCTAGAGAAACAAATCTTGGTTATGCATGTGGAAAATTTCTTTCTCATTGTTATCAATCCCACCAAAGTG